ATCATGTACCTTTGAAGTGGTAGCTATAGAAATGTTTTGTTTGTCTGAGTGTATAAAAGATGTGCTTGAAATGGACAACGCGGGATTCGGGCTTTGGGCGCTAGCCCCCTGTATCCCCGGGCCCTCAATAAAGCACCGGCAATAAACTAACATTCTGTTGGTTTCTGCTTATATCGTGACGGGCAACACCATTAACCCAGCACTGCCAAGGCCACCTCTAAACCATGTCCCCAAGTACTACACCTCCACATCTTTTCAATCCCTCCAGTCCCGCTGGACACACCATTGCTGGCACAGGCTGGGTGCCAGTGGCCTTCTTGGCCACCTGGGCACACCTGGGCTCATGTTCAGCCACCATTGACCAGCACCCCCCAGGCTCTTCTCCACCAGGCAGATTTCCAGCCACTCTGCCCCAAACTTGGAGCATTCTTGTGACCCCAGGGTAAGACCCAGCGCTTTGCCTTGTTGACTCTCACACCACTGGCCTTGGCCCATCGATCCAGCCTGTCCAGTTGCCTCTCTGGAGCCTTCCTGCCCTCCAGCAAATGAACACTCCCATCCAGCTCGGTGTCATCTGTGAACTGACTGAGGGTGCCCTCGATCTCCTCTTCCAGACCATCTATGAAGATATTAAACAGGGTTGGCCCCAAAACTGAGCCCTGGGGAGCACCACTGGTCACCAGCCCCCAGCTGGATTTAGCTCCACTCACCACCACTCTGGGCCTGGATCCTGACTCACACTGACACATGGATTTTAAAAACAATTTTTGACTTAAACCTTTATGAAGCTTTGTCAGAATAATTAAAAATGCTCATGAGCTCATATTTACATTCATTTTAATCACAATTTATAAATCTTAAGTCTACGTAGTGTTATTTGGAATTCATGTAGAAAATAAGGATGCTGAAAGTGATGTCTTTGAGCCTGTGACTGTGCAGCCACTCCAACAGCTGGATGGTTTTGCTGACATTACTGAATGAATTATGTGCTTGTTTCTTTATCATCACAGGCCGAAACTTTTTTTTTATCTTCAGGTTTGTTATCTGTAGCTGATAATCATAAGTCAAAATTGTATCAGAAGTGGAGAAAAATGTATTTAGACTTTTATACCCAGACATTGCATCCCATTGAGTACAGCTGCTAAAATTTAACCAAGGAGAGGCTGTGCTTATTTCTGAACCTGCATTTGGACATGTCTGAAATTGGGGTTTAAAAATGGCCACAAATCATCTGGGAGTTCACAAATGCAAATAGAATTGATAGGATTTTTTTCCAAAGAAAGGTGTTCTTTAGGGAAAGGCAGATGGGCAGCCTGTGGGAGCACAGCTCTTCCCCTCCCACAGGGACCAGCAGCCTCCAGAAGGCTCAGTCCTGCCTCCCTGCTCTGTTTTCCAGGAGGACCTGATTTCACTGGCCAAGCAAAGTGACCTGCCCATCAAAGAGGTGCAGACCTGGTTCCGGCACCGGCGGGCCCAGGACCACCCCAGGCTGAGCAAGAAGTTCTGTGAGGTCAGGTAGGTGGGTCAGTGGAGGCTTCCAGGGGAACCTGCTGCCAGCAGAGCCTTGTCCCCTCCCTGCAGCACTGCCAGCTTCATCCTCCCTCCCTCTCCGTCCCTTCCTTCCTTCCCTCCCTTCCCTTCCTTTACCTTTAAAAGTGAAAGTTCCCTCAACAGAGTCTAGTGGCCTTGATGGAGAACAGGTTTAAATCTCAGGTGCTGGAGGGATTTTGAGCACTCTAGCCATTTTCAAAATGCATTCACTTCTTTTCAAGATGATCTTGATACAAAATTAGCATTTTGAGATATTGTCAGCATGGGCATAAAATAAATCCATGAAGTGCAGTTAGTAGGCAGTGCAAGCCATGAACAGAGGGAGGCAAAACCTGAAAAACACCAGAAAGCACCAAAATCTTCATTCCTTTTCCTCAACCTGTTTGTTCTCCTATATGAAATCTTCCTGCTTATCTCAGCAGCACATGAAGTCAGGATGGAGAGAGGAGTCACTAAGTCTCTTGATCAAAAGAATCAGGTTATCTCTGGTTCTCACCTTGAGGTTTAATGATGTATGAACACAAAGACCCCCATCAAGTAAGAGATCTGCTCTCATTCCCCTTCTGAAAAATAAATTATTCAGTGCTTGAATCCTGTTACTTTGCTTTTTTTCAAAAATATTCTCCCCCTGAGAGCTTGTTCAGTGCTCCATATGCAGCATTTCTGAGGAAAGTGATAAAACCCCAGTACTCCTGTGCCATCACTGGGAAAAATTAGGTGCCTTCCACAGGCTGGGGTGTATAAGCATAGGTGATCTACAAACACCCACACAACAAAAGGTGACAGGGAGAGGCAGCTTGGTAGTCTTGCTGCATCCTCTTTAACTGGTGGAGTGCACAGGGAATCTGGGCACAGTGAGGGCACAGCAGAGCCTGGGTGGGCTGTGGGTACCTTGTTGCCTTACAACACATGCTTGCTGTGCCAATGGAGCTGAGATTCTGCAAATTCCTGTCCAAACGAGCATAGGTTCCCCTGTGGGCATCCTGGGCACAGCCTGGACAGCTATTCCAACTCTGGAGGAGGACTTAATTCCTTGTTTTGTGTTTTAGCTGGAGATTCACATTCTATTTTACCTCATTCTTCTCTGCACTGGCTCTTCTGTATGATGTAAGTATGTGAGCAGGTGTGAAGTGACACCTTGCAAGGGTACCTTGTTGATTGCTAATGATGCTCATGGTCCCACCCCAAGACAATGTGTGGCCATCACTACGTGGCCAGAGACAAAGAAGGACAAATTCAGGGGTATGGAGCAGAACGATCCCTAATCCTGATGCAGGATAAAACACTTCCCCTTTCCCTTGCTGGGCCTGGCTGGGTGTCAGTGATGTCAGTGGTGTTATCATGCTCTCCTTGTCTCAGATCCTTGTGCAAGTGCTTCACCACAGATTCCCCCACACAGCTCCTGCATCTCAGACAAGAGCAGACCCTGCCCCGGCTCTGCCTGCTGCCCACTCTTTATCAAGACCCTTTGTGTGACACCCTGTGCATTCACTAACGACAAATGCATTTTGCCAACCACTTTCTCCAAAGCTCAAAGCCAGACTGGATCTAGCATGGGCCCACGAGTTCTTGCAGTATTTCTTCCCGTGCTCATCATGCCATTAAAAGGCTATGGTTTCTTACTGATGCCTTCTCTCTGAACAGAAGCCCTGGTTTTGGGACCACACCGTGTGCTGGTTGAAATTTCCACAACAGGTGAGCAGCAAGTACATGGAATCACAGGCTAATTCATACTGGAAGGGGTATAAAGAGGTTTCTTGCCCAACCTCCTGCTCACAGCTCTCAGCTGTGGGATCACACCAGGTTACCCTGGGTTTGCTCCAGCTGAGTTTTGAAAACACTCAAACATGAAGACAGCCCAGCCTCATGGTGAAAAGCTTTATCCTTATAACTCCTTATATCCACCTGTTCTCTTTCAACATCCCTCCCATCACTCACCCTCACATCACACACCAGGACAGCTTGGCTCCATCTGCTTGACAAGCTCCTCATAGATGCTCCATATGAGCATGGGGAGCTCTGCCCTGAGCAGACACCACTTCCCATGAGTTTCTTTGTCACCCAAACCTGGCTGGAAGTGGCTCTGTGTGTGGTCAGGACATCTGATGTCTCAAAGCAGGGCTGGAGATGAGGTGTCTGACCCCCTGAAGAGGGGAGACCCCAGATGCTGTCAGTCCCTCTGCAGGCTGGCCAGGCTGGTCCTGGTTTTGGACCTGCCTGTCAGTGCATCAGCAAACAGTTCAGTCATTGGGAACAGGAAAATTTAGGCATGACCAAGCCCTGCTGTCCCAAATGCAGATTGAATGAAGGGGCTTTGCCCAGGAAGACCCTTCTCCTCTCCTGTCCCCCAGGGCTAGGCAGGGCCATCATGCTGCCAGTTGCTTATCTTGCAGCCTCTCCCACCTGCACTGGGCTGGTTCTACCTCCTGGAGCTCTCCTTCTACTGCTCACTCATGGCCACCCTGCCCTTCGATGTGAAGAGGAAGGTGAGTGACAGCAGCACAGCCACAACCAGCAGTCTGTCCCCTCCTGCTGTCGGCTCCCCAGGGCTGCAAAGGAGAAGGCACATGTGCTGCTGGGAACACCCTTGAGCACGTGAGCCCCTCCAGCACTCAGATCCCACCACTGCACTGGGCCCTGCTCGTGCATGGTGTGGCCTCTCTGCCTCTTTGGCTGGGAGGGGCTGGGACTGACACGAGGGGTCCCCACGCCTGGCCAGAGGACAGACACTGTGTGGATGTGGCACCACAGCCCTTCCCAGCTCTGCTCTCAGGGGCTGCCTGCACTAGAGGGCCGTGTCTGCTGATGGGAGGGGCCTGGGCTGCTCTGATGAGGGTCCTGTAAATGCATGTGTGACTTTTGCAGCATGGGATGAGGTGACCTCCCGTACCCAGCACCCAACCTTGCCCTCACCTCGTTCTGCAGTGGAGACTGCTCAGAGCTGCAGTACAGTGGGAGCACTGATGCTTTGTGGAGGTGTTTGACATGACCTAGTGAGGACGCAGCATGCAGGAACAGATGCTGCCAGGTCAAAGGCTGACAATCTCCCTTCTCATGGCAGGACTTTAAGGAGCAGATCATCCACCACATCACCACCATCACTCTGAT